AAAACAACGCGTTGATTATGAGTAAAAACACGGCGGATAACAGGAAGGACCTCCAACCTAATCTTTCCATATTTTTGAAATAAAGCAATTACAAATGTTCACCTGTTCACCAGAGCAGAGGAAATTGGATCTAAATGAATGAGACATAAATCCACTTACCTGTCTCTCCCTTATATGAATATTTAGAATTAGTTTTTAATATCCATTCAAAAATTCACACATAATTAATGAGCTACTAGGCCAATAGAATGAGCCTATTTGGTCACTTTGGTCTTTATATAAATATTCTCCCAACCATCCCTCGCGGTTTATTTCGCCAGTAAACCGTTTCAAGCTATCGCTTATTGCTTAAATACATGTTTCTGTCATAGTAGGAACGCACATATGWAGTCAGTGTCATGTGCGCTGGCCGTCAGTCATTACCGCCAACAAACCACTCAGTGCAAGAGAAAGCGATACAAACATTTCAGGCAACGCAAGTACCTTTACAATATTCAAACCTCTCAAAGCACTGCATAAAAAATGCATTAATTATGTTATATATTTGCACTGTATATTATTCTGTTTCAGTCATACCCGACTACGACGACCGGAGTCTCCACCGGCACGAATTGTCGGATTAGTTGAAAGTTGCGGTAACCGGTAGGGTGGAGTTGCGGGCAGGTCGCGACCAGAGCTTCTGGTCTGATTTCTTACAAACAATGGATGGACCGTGTTATTTTAATTTACATGAATCTCTTAGACAATCAGGATTGCCCCGTTTTGCTGACAAATGACATTCTTGCGATTGAAGATGTTTTAATCACATTCCTTCAACAGTTCAAAAATATTCAATGATTTCGCATGGTTCAGGTTGTGTCACAGGGAGAACAGCCTCTAATCAGTTGTTCCTATCTCACCACCCCTCCCCTCTATATTTTACTGTTTTTTTGAAGATTTTTGTATTATGTTTTAGTATAAACATACTAATGGTCTATCACTCATACTGCGCTGTGATTGGCTGCTCTACTAATGGTATAATTTGTGATAGACCACTCGCGGGAAAATCAAAATGGCGGCATCTCATTTATAAATTATTTTAAGGACATTTCAATTTGTTTTCATTATTTGACCGATTAGTATGTTTATACTAAAACAATTAGACCTCTCGGCCTCGTGGACTACGAGCTAATAGCCCATCCGGCCTCACGGACTCGGCCTCATGGGCTATTAGCTCGTAGTCCACTCGACCTCGAGGTCTAATTGTTAATTATTAAATCGTTTCGGAGATAATACGAAAACCGGACATTCAGTCCCTACTATGTGTCCACTCTTACTGGTATACATCAGTACTTTCRGAGAAAAATGCTTTCGCCATTTTGAAAAGTGAGACCCAATCATTACATTATGTTGTGCCTGAGAACACATTTAGTAGTTGCTAAGTCAACTAATATATCATTATATCGTATTACATTAACTAGCTTAGAACCATTTAATTCCTTTTGGAGTTATAAATACTGATTCGAGTCACATTTTTCAAGATGGCGGACGTATTGYTCTCCGAAAGTACTGAAATACAAAGACCCTGAATATAACCCTGGATGTTTTGCGATCGTCTTTCATTATTTTGAAAAAATGCTCGTTTCTGTTTGGTCGCTTTATCCATACGAGATTTGATTGAAACTTGCCTATATTGCCTTTCTTGCCTATTTGAAAGCTCGGCTTGAAATGGCATTTAAAAACTAAGCATCCATTTGCCTTTAACAATGTCGCGGATTGGTGGGCAAGTGAAATCATAGTTTATTCCCAGGTAAAATTGTTCGATTTACGTACTATAAAAAGTATGGAGAATTCTTGTAAAAATTTGGCCAATTCTTCGTTTTCACTATACGTCACAGCGGTCCTCTTGGAGGAACTTCAACAAAGGATTTCTCATTCGTATCTATTGTTTATTCCTCCAAAATGGCCGACGGTCTTTTATTTTTTGAATCTCATGGGAATGGTTGAAAACGATYAATGGTCTCCTTCACGGTTACCTGCGCCATCTTGTAAGGTAGCCGTGCCTTTGCATTGAAGCGAGACGACCCTTGAGCTTGCAATGATAGAAACCTTCTTTCACACCTATAGACAATTATTCACAGGTATCTCTACTCATTGACGCTAAACGGTCGTCGCGCTTAGATGTAAAGGCACGGCTACCTTTCAAGATGCCGCAGATAACCGTGAAGGAGAATATTAAAACTTATATTAAATGAGCGGTACCTACCAACTTTATAATATATCTAAGTTTCTAGTAAAGATCCCATAAAAAACTGTGATTTTCAGAAATAAGTAGAGAAACGAGAACGAGTGTCTTAAAGAATCATAACCACCCGTCGTACCTTGCGCGCTCGTATCATTGTTTACATACGTTTA